TCTAGGGTTCTCTATTTCAATAAAACAGACTCTCAGGCTAAGAACCTGGGGTCCCTTCAGACATCCCACCCATCAGCCAGTCCTGGGGCACCTACACCTGTCTTCTCCCTCCAGCTCCACTGCTCCTCTGAGTCTGAGCTTTAAAAACTGCAGCTGTCTGGGCCTTGCCTATGAAAATCATGGTTAAGCAGGTTAGGAGCGGGACCTTTTCATCCTCTTTCACTAAATATTTAAAGTTTGACACTTGATTCAGGTTCCACACTTCTCTGTTAACAATAGTTGTTTTAGGCAATCTGAGAAATATTTATATAAAAATATCATAAATCAGAGCATATAGAAATGTTCTATTTTAAAAAGTAAGAACTTTACTGTCAGGTGGAATAGGGTCCATGACAATGGCTATTCTCTGATTGTGATACAATAAACCTATAAATATAAGAGCAAACATATAGACAAACAAACAAAAAAACCTTGGAAAAAATGTTTAAATCTCTTCTTTCTTACTTAGTCAGAAAAGAGATCCAAAATATGATGACATACTGTTTACAATAAAAACATGATCATAACCTATTTTTGGAGTCCTGGTGTGGTGCTGTGGATTAATGTGCTGGACTGCAAGGTCAGTGGTTCACGCTCACCAGCCGCTCCTCAGAAACCCTATCCAGGATAGCTATGAGTTAGAACTGACTCAACAGCACTTAACAGCTTAACAACAACAACCTATTTTAAAACCTGTGAGATTAGAGTGCACTTTGGAAATACCCATGTGAGGAACCCCAGGGAAATAATTACATAACTGGTGAAAATTATGCAAATAACAGTATCTCATTTAAATTCTCTGGAAAAATTATTATGGACAATCAATGCCAATTTATTTTTGAATCTGCACAAAAAGGAGGACTTTGTCAATAAAATGGACTACTAACTATTGTTAGGTGTCATTGAGTTGGTACTGACTCATAGTGACCTTACGCACAACAGAAGGGTACACTGCCCTGTTCTGTACCAGTCTCACAATCATTGCAAACACTTGAGCCCATTGCTGCTGCCATTGTGCTAATCCATCTTGTTGGGGGTCTTCCTCTTTTTTGCTGACCCTCCATTTTACCCAGCATGATGCCCTTCTCCAGGAACTGGTTCCTCTGATAACATGCCCAAAGCATGAGAGACAAAGTCTGGCCATCTTGGCTTCTAAAGGAGCGTGCGGCTGTACTAATCTCAAAACAGATTTGTTGATCTGCTGGCAATCCATGGTAACTTTTAACATAACTCAAATGCATCAATTCTCCTAAGGTCTTCCTTATTTATGATTCAACTTTCACATGCATATGAGGCTATTGAAAATACCATGATTTGGGTCAGGTGCACCTTAATCCTCAAACTGACACTGTAGCTCTTGAACACTTTAAAGAGGTTTTGCACAGAAGACTTCCCAAATGAAAAATTGTTTGATTTCTTGACAGCTGCATCCATGAGAGTTGATGGGTGATACAAGCAAAATGAAGTCTTTGACAACTTCAATCTTTTCTACATTTATTCTGATGTTATTTATTAGTCCAGGAGTCAGAATTTTTTGCTTTCTTTACATTGAGGTGGAACCCATATAGAAGGCTGTGATCTTTGATCTTCAGCTGTAAGTATTTTAAGTCTTCTTCACTTTCAACAAGCAAGGTTGTATCATCTG